AATTTTCAATTTTTTTCTGAATAATCAAACGAAAGCGAGGTCTTTTTGGTTACTAATGGTAGCTTCTTGATCACACAGCTGTACCAAATTTCAAATCAATTCGTTGAGAAGCAAATGAGTTTCGGCAGTTTTCAGGATATACATATAGTTTTGGCCAGCATGTGTATATATACAGTACTGGCCATGATTACAAAGCCACTCTAGAAATCGTCGTACGTCTGAATTGCTGTATTGTGTGCATGTCAACCTTTTATGACCCCTCAAAACGGCTTCCAGTCTTGTTGAGTTTGGACGGAGAAAAACGAAAATTGAAAAACCTTAATGAAAGCTGGACAAAATCATAAAGCCACCTGTTTTTTTTAGTCCTCATCTATCGAAAATGCTCAGTAGATTCTGTTGCTATCATTTGAAATAAACAAGGGCTTGAAAACTCCTCAAATCAGCAGCTTGTTAAAGCAGATTGATTTTTGGTGCTTTTAAAAGCAAAAAATACAGTGATCGCTTCTATTTGAGTAGGAGGACAGGCTCTAGGTGTTGCAAATGTTTCGTATTTTGGGATGTAATTGTACAAAAAAATTTGAGAGCCAACGATTGCGATATAAAAGTAATGGGCAATCTCAAAAACGGTTGTTGTATTCGCAATCAGCGTGCTCTTCTTTTCCTTAAAAAAGAAGAGCAGCTTGGGCCGCCCTCGGGCTTCTGAAGGAAGCCAATGACCAACTGACGGACCCCTTGATGCCCACCTGTTCGACTCATCCGTTCTCCCGGGGCTCTGTTACGCAACTGAGACTTGGGCCGACACTGTAGCACGTCGAAAGCTTTGCGGACCACAGAGCGCTTGAGCTTGGAATTCGTGGACGCAGCCACCGACGACAACCAAGAGGATGGTGGATGTCTGGAGCGAAAGACGGGATTTAATGGAAACTTATGTACTGGGGCCCGCACGTCACGTGAGGACAGGCCATCTAAGTATCTAAGTAAGTACACCGTACTTACATACACCTTTGTGTTAATCCTGTAGCTCGAATTTTGCAAAAAAATCGATAAGTTCAAGAAGGTAAAGGCTTGTAAAATCTTATTGCCCGCCCCGTGCCTTGAACACCAGAGTAAGCGAGCGGTCGTCGCCGATGACTGTAGACGTTCATTTTTCTGAAGAAATTTCCTGTCAATTTCCATATTGTTTCCAAAAGTGCAAAACATGTTTTGATCAAAACTTCCATCAAAAGTTTAAAAAATATGTGCGAAACGGGTGTGCACTCATTGCCATTTATGAAATTTATGACAGGAAATTTCTTTAGAAAAATGAATGTCTACAGTCATCCGCGACGACCGCTCGCTTACTCTGGTGTTCAAGGCAGGGGCGGGCAATAAGATTTTACAAGCCTATACCTTCGTTGACCTTATCGATTTTTTGCAAAATACTCTACGGCGCTGAAAATTGGTAGGCATGGGTGAGCATGCCCATTACGTTTATAATGAATGCTCTTGGAACCCATTACTTTCATCGATTTTATCGATTTATTGAAAAAATCGATAAAATCGACGAAAGCAATGGTGTTCAAGGCACGGGGCGGGCAATAAGATTTTACAAGCCTTTACCTTCTTGAACTTATCGATTTTTTTGCAAAATTCGAGCTACAGGATTAACACAAAGGTGTATGTAAGTACGGTGTACTTACTTAGATACTTAGATGGCCTGTCCTCACGTGACGTGCGGGCCCCAGTACATAAGTTTCCATTAAATCCCGTCTTTCGCTCCAGACATCCACCATCCTCTTGGTTGTCGTCGGTGGCTGCGTCCACGAATTCCAGGGGCGGAAATCATATTTAGCTGATTTCTCAGCTGGTCCATCCGTTTCACGAATACGTCTGCCCATCTCGTTGAAGGTCTTCCTCGGGACGTTTCGCTTCGCGAGGAATCCACTCCGATGTTCTTCTCCGATGTTCCAGCTGACATCTGTTCTTCTCATAATGTGACCGGCCCATCGATGCTTCGCTTTCGCAACCGCTGGGTCACGAAGACGGGACATTCTCCTCATATCCGTACTGCGAAGTCCGACAAGGTGTTATTTGTGTCGGGTCATTTTCAGAAGACTACGCTCAAGCGCTCTGTGGTCCGCAAAGCTTTCGACGTGCTACAGTGTCGGCCCAAGTCTCAGTTGCGTAACAGAGCCCCGGGAGAACGGATGAGTCGAACAGGTGGGCATCAAGGGGTCCGTCAGTTGGTCAGTGGCTTCCTTCAGAAGCCCGAGGGCGGCCCAAGCTGCTATTCTTTTTTAAGGAAAAGAAGAGCACGCTGATTGCGAATACAACAACCGTTTTTGAGATTGCCCATTACTTTTACCAATTTCATCCATTTTTCTCAAAAGTTCAAGCTACGAGACTGAGAGTTGGCGCTGCGGGTGGGGGGGGGGGGGTAAGTGAGCACGCTGACATTCTAACGATAGCTTCTGTGACCAAGACGGTATGGTGGGAGTTCTCTCCGTCCCTAAATGCTCTAGTTGTGCTATGTGTTCCCCTATCGTGAGGAGAGTGGCGACAACAAGAGCATTCCAGATGCGATGCACGAAATAGAATTGTATCCCTTGAATGAAAGAGGATGCGCCGAGAAAAGCTTCTAATTGCCGAGAGAGTAATGCTGTGCATACGCACTTAGTAAGGTCATGTTGTTTGAGCAGGATTCAAGGTCTCGACTTTTTCTTCATATATCAATCTTCAGACACTATGCACTTTAAGGAGCTCAGCAAATCGTCGACCCAAAACTTTCATTGCTTACCTGTGGTGACCCGACGCTCTGATCCCAAAATCGACCTCAAGAGAGCGAAAATACGGAAACCAGTTTTTTTCCGTAGCCTTTTTTGTATTTGAATGAATGAAACACTTCGCGCCAAGGTTACAGACGCTGAGTTGTTGCGGAACCCTTGGAATTATACCTGGCTTTTACAGTGGGAAGGAAATCGCGAGCTCGTCCGATAGCGTGTAAATATTTCTTGTGCGCACGAGTTTTGGGGCAGTTGTCGGGAGGAGCAGCGTCCTATGGGCATGGCCGTGCTCTATTTTCATATTTTGGAATGCAAGCAACCTGCCCTATTAAAAATCCAAGATGTTCGTTTTGCCGAGCTACTGCCTCGAGGTGCAAAATAGTTTTGAGCTTGCTCTGCGCAGAAAGCAAATACTCAGACAATCGACCGGACCCCTCCGCCGGACAGTCCGAATCTGCCAGAGTTGCGCCGGACCCAGTTGACCAATGAGAGCGGGGCAAATGGGCGGTCCGTCGCGGTGACATCACTGGCAGGCAAATGGGACGCTTCTCCGGCCCTGCTGCAAAGGTACGCCATTTCTCCGGCGCGGCTCTGCCAGATTTGGCAGAGCCGCGCCGGAGAAATTTGCCCGGCGCGAGTCCGCCAGATTTGGAAGAGCCGCGCCGCAGAAAATGAGAGGGGTCCGGAGCACAAATGAGAGGTCTCCGGAGCAGAAAATGGGAGGTATCCGGAGCAGAAAATGGGAGGTATCCGGAGCAGAAAATGGACGTACAGTATTTGGCCAAACTTACACTGGCCGAAAAATAATGTGCTCCAAACAAGAGTCGCACTAGAGCACCAATCTTATTCGGAGCACAATATTTCTGGCTTATTTTTTGCCAACTATTCTATTAAGATAAAAATGACAGTTTCTTTTTTCATTTCCACTATTTTCATCGTTATTTAGTACTAGAAAAGTGATGTTTTTTTTGAAGTCTTGAAATCGCCTTACGTTTTGATTTCTTATCTGCCTGGGCTTATTTGTCATGGTAATTCCGAATATGATATGCATTTCGGTTTGTTCGGAAGGAGTTAGCCAACTCGATGATTTCAAAATGATACCTACTTCGCATACTGCTTCCAATACTTTGTCATTTCCACTATACTCAGTAAGTATTCGTCGACTTTGCCTCTTTTAGTTGCCCTTTGATTAGCTTTTTATTTCATTTTTGTTCTCTACTTATTTTTTATGTTCTTCTGTGGTTTTGCTCTTTTGTTGTTCGCTCGGTAGTTTATGTTATCGTTATCCTCGAGAGGAAAATTTTTTCTTGCAGTCTGGTTTTCTGAGAAGATGCCCACAAAAGCTCCGTGTCACATCTGCACCGTCCGGGGCCTAAGGAACATATCTCCAGCGACATGATCAATTACCCTCTCACTTCTTACTCTCTATCAATAACCTCTTCTGTAAATTTCAAATTGAATAACAACTTCGAATTTTTTCCTTTCGTTGCGAGAACAGTGTTCCCTCAAGATTACTCTAGTAGAGTAACGACGATCTCGCAAAATGCAAACTGTATTCGAAATCAGCATGAAAAATAACCCCAGGTCATAAGAAACCAAAACAATAAGCAGTTTCAAAACTTTTAGAGAAAACATTACTTTTCTAGTGTGAAAATGAAAAAAGAAATTGTCATTTTTATCTTAACAGAATAGTTGGCAAAAAATAAGCCAGAAATATGGTGCTCCGAACAAGATTGGTGCTCTAGTGCGAATCTTGTTTGGAGCACATTATTTTTCGGCCAATGTAAGTTTGGCCAAATACTGTACGTCCAGAAAATGGGAGGTCTCCGGAGCAGAAAATGGGAGGTATCCGGAGCAGAAAATGGGAAATCTCCGGAGCAGATATGGGAGGGCTCCGGAGCAGGCTGCGTATCGATTTGGCGCGTAGCAAGCAAACGTCTAACTCCACGGTGATGAGTCCTCTGTTTACGCTCTTTCTTCATATTTTAGTCGTTGTTTCTTTGATTTTGTTGTTTCTCCGCGTTTCTTACCGTTTTTTTTTCTTTTCCGCGTTGCTCAATGCTTCTACGTGAAGTCAAAACCGACCCGGTTGGATGCAAACTAGCCATTATCTCTGCTTTGTCCTTGCTGAACGCAGAATGGGAAGCAGTGAAGAAGGCTAGTAACCATCTTTGCAAAACTTGATTTTTGTTTTTATCCTGCAAATGTGTTTGGTTTCAAGTGAAAGTGATCCAGTCAATGATGAACTTCGACGTTGAGCTGCTTCCGCCTTTTATTGACCTGTTGCTCAAACGTTTGGACAGCACAAAAAAGAACGCGTTTGCTGAACTATTATCTCACCTTTCATCAAGTCTACAGGTTGATAAACTACGACCAACTCGTAGAGGGAAAATGTAGGTTGACTATTCTATAATTTTTTTCACATATCCCCACAGAATTACATTGGCTTGTTTTAAAGTAGCAGGCTTTTGCATATGAGCAAAACGGTTTATAATACCCTTCTTACCATGCTAATGAATAGGTGGTAACGCTTATATGAGATAGCAACAAGACTTTTGATTGATGACAGGGGAGGTGGGGCGGAGTTTGTCATCTTATAGGCAACCTTTTTGCTCGTCTTCTTGCGGAGTTCCGTAGATATGCTCACGTTCGAGTACATGCTGGTTTCTATTATGTGCAGGCGCCTGGGTTCTGTAAATTTATGGACATAAACTTTCGAGTTTTTTTTTGCAAATCTATATTTTTAGCTTTTGATTTCAATTTTTTATGGCTGACCAATCATGTCTATGCTTTTTTGAGCCTTCCTGTATCAAATGGTGCTAAATTCCTACCATCCATAAAATTTTGCCTGAGCCTTTTCCAATCAAACGACTTGAGAAAACCCCATTTTCAGCTTTTTGTGAAATTTTATTTACAGACGACATTCCTTGGATGATGTAGTAGGTGAAGTGTTTGAAAAGCTCACTCAGTTTGTTGTACTTGGTGGCGAAACGTTGGAAGGAGGTTCACCGCTTTCTTAGAGCCGTGGAAGCCATAGAAAAAGGTGCTGTAGATGGCGCCTCCCAAGAAAGTTTCATCACTCCGCCATCGGATTCGCCTCACGTAAATGATAGAGGTTTTCACAAGATTTCTCACATTGTTTATCAAATTTTGAGCGATACAGAGTTTGGGGTTGTTCGAAGTGTTGCTCTCAATCGCGCTACTGTCACTGGAAACATGTCCGCTTAATGTGTCAAACGCCATCAAACAACGTTTTGCCCAGACACAAGAAAACGTGGATATTCTATACCAGCTTTTTAGTGAAGCCCTCAAATTCAAAATTGTGAGTGTTTTCAAGCGATTCAAAGTCGATCAAAATGTAAAAATTATTGTTTGTTGCAGTACTGCGAACGCAATATGAATACCATTATCTCTGTTGCACAGCAATGTCTATGGTCTCCAAAGCCAGATGCACGTAAATTCGGTGCAAAATTGTTCAAAGAACTTTTTGTAGCTATACCGAAACGAAGAGAGGTGTGTCTGATCTTGAACTTAAAGAATTTGTCTCATACTTGAAATAACGCGAATCTCGAGGCAGATGACCATGAGAGCAATGTTGACACATGCAGTACAATCGGACATGGAATCAGAAGCTGTGCTCATTGAGCTCACCACCCTTATTGATGAAAGTCCCGAAGCAGTGGAACCGTTCATAGGGCTCATATCGGTAAGTGTCTTTTTGCAATATCAACTTTAAGCCAGTCCTTCTGTCATCTACTTATGGTGCTGCACAAGTGTCTATGTGCCTATGTATCTTTTTTTTCATCTACACCTAGAAAGATCTGCTTTGAAATATGTGCTTACGAAAGCGCAACATATGTCATGATCATCATCAGTTTGACCTAAGTTCAGGAATATTTCTTCGTTCTTGAACGCATGTCAGTTGACAATGTCAAAAGACTTTTTCGCGCAGTTTTTCGCCTATATGCTGCTAGGCCATCGACTATGTCGCATAAGGTCAGAATAGCATGTCAGCATGGCGTCATTTGTCTATCTTCCTATTAAGGATAATCTAATCACAATGATTCCATTGTTACTTCGCTCAGCTGACAATGTTCAACCAATTTTTGGTATACTGGCTGTACTGTTGAGGATGGAAACTGGCTAAAACTGGAGGAGTGAGTAAGCCAAGGCTTGATTCATTTGAAGTGCTTTGCCACACTGAAAACCTCCAGACTTTATTTAGCTCCCCAACAAGAGAGGAAGATGTGCGAAGTGCATTAGAACTCTTAGACGAAGCGCGTAATTCGAATCAGTTTGTGCGAACTTTTTGCTATGCCGAACTAGCTGAGGTGTTGCGAACTTGTTTTGGATGTTCGAAATGCATAGCTATGGTAGGTGAATGCAACTAGTTGCGATAGAGTGATGATATGCACTTCTCAGCATGAATGGTTGACGGTGTTCATAGAGGAATTTCGCTCAGACTTTTTTCTGATCGCTATGAGTCATTGGGGTTAGTTCCATCTTTTTTAGACGTGAATCAGTTGAACAAATTCTTCGGTTTTTTTCTTGTTTTTTTTAAACTCAAGAGTGCAAGTCAAATTAAGTAAAATATTGAATTCACATTGTTGTACCATATGTTTTGGAGTAATCGCTTTTTTGCGCAATTAAGCTGCTCAGGCTTGGACTTCGCTTGCAAACTTGAAGGCGATTCTAACAAGGGGAATAGTAGGTCGAAGTAGCAATCCTGCAGGAAATGTAGACTATCTTACAGAGCATGGAACGCTGATTCCATCTGCTTTCTTCATCTGCAAAGCATTTCTGGGAGGGAAGTTATGGGAATTTTTTGAAGCAAAAATTCTAACGCGCAGCTACAGTAAAATCATTTAGAACTGTAGTCCTTGAGCTCGAATGGAGCCATATTTACTCCCAGAGCGCTTCATGCAGTTAATTCTTTGAGTCTAGCAAACTCATGCTAGTCACTGCTCCATAGAAGTGCCGGAAAGACCTCAAAACTTGCTTTTACCTTAGCCAGAATTTTAGTTTTTGTCTCGAAAAATTCTCATAACTCCCTTCCCAGAAGCACTTTGCAGATACCCAGAGCAGATTTGGAGTCCGTTTTCCATGCTCTACGTCGACCAAGTATCCTTCCCTTGATAGACGCATTTTATTTGAAAGAAGATATCGTGACTGACAAACAATGAGTCTCCCTTTTAGGCTGAATGCACTCACAAGAACTGCTGTAGAGTTTCTCATCATTACAAGTTTTTAGTGAATTGGAAAGCGAAAGATATCTCAACCAAGACTCAAACTTGTGGCTGAAGTGTTCAGATGGACAGAATCTTGGCGAGGCCATACCACTTCTAGAGGCTGTAATGGTATTCAGTAGTATACTTTTATTTATAGGCTTTCACTTCTTATTAGCCTTTTCCCCAAAATCATTTAGGAAGCTATCAAGCTGCAAGAGACATGGCCTGAAGCGGATACCATAGAAGCCACCCAACGAGATAGATGGTCCAGGATTCTCTACGCTCTTAGTATGTTTTTTTTTGGTGGGCTTAGATCACATCCTATCCCTCTTTTTGTGAGAAAAAAGCATTTTTTAATGATTGTCTCAGGTGCAAACATATGCGTACGAGGAGTCGATGAAGTATCAAAAGACGCATGCGATACCCTATTTCGTATCATACAGTAGATACGCACAGTATGTATTCAATTTCGTGGAAGGAGGCACCACATATTTGATGCTTAATGCCCGTGCGATTTTTTTTGAGAGAAATCTTTTATATAAAAATTCGGTTTTTTCACGTATTTCGTCTTCTATGATCTTAGAGGTCTTTCTTTTTTTTTTCAGCTTTTCAACGTATTTTCTGAAGAGCATGCTTGTCCTGGTGTAGTTAATTTGAAATAAATGTCTTGTTTCTTCATTCTTCTATCTTCTATCCACAAGCGCTAGGGGTGAGAGGGAGGGGGTAAAGAACGGGGTTGAGGGTCGCGCTGAACTCTTACCCGGGGGGGGGGGGGTCGTATTCGGCTAATTTGGGTGGGGTTTAGAGACATAATTGGGGTTTGAAGCTTAATTAGGGTTAATTACAGTATGCCGCGGCAGACTTGCGGAGCAGAAAATGGCAGGGCTCCGGAGCAGAAAATGGGAGGTCTCCGGAGCAGAAAATGGGAGGTCTCCGGAGCCGAAAATGGGAGTCGGAGCAGAAAATAGGAGGTATCCGGAGCAGAAAATGGGAGATATCCGGAGCAGAAAATGGGAGGTATCCGGAGCAGAAATGGGAGGTCTCCGGAGCAGAAATGGGAGGGCTCCGCCGGACGAAGGGGGAGGGGTCCTATCCGTTGCCTGTGTATGTATTATGCTTTGCGGTCAATTCCGGCAATATATCAAGTCGTTCCCAAAGTTCTTTCCGTTTTTTCTATCACAAAACCGCATGGAATAAGAATGGAGAAAGCAATTTAAGAACTATTCGACGCGGTTTTTCTTCCTCTTTCTAGCAGTTGTGTTTCAATGCCATTTCCTCTTTTGGTCACAAGGATAAGTGCAGAAGTTTTGAACCCATGATTTTTACCATGCCCAAGTTTGACAATTTTTCACATTTTTCATTTTGAACTTCTGGAAGATTTTGCTTAACAGCTGGATAGAGCAAACAAAGTGCAACGTAATGAATTTTTTGGCATCTCCAGCTAGCTTTCCAAAGTAAACAAAATCATTTTTCTGATGCCATCAAATTCCATATTTGGTTCAGCCAAGCCTCACAGAATATCATCCGAAGAGCGACTCGGGTGTTATTTGATGCAGCTTTATCTCCTCTTTCTGATGGGCTTTTTTTGTTCCCGATTTGTTCAGATGAGATGAAAACATAAAAATCGTGTATTTTTAGATTCACTTATGGCTATACTCGAAATCTCAAATTTCGATTTTTCGTGGCAGTAAAAGCTCGAATTAGTGGTAAATGATAATCGAGTTTTGAAACCCTCAAATTCCGAAGATTCCTCGGCGTTTGATGCGTTTGCGTATCATAAGACACTGCCAAAGTAAACATTTCTGAGAAAAGCATCTCAAAAAATACTGGAAAGCTTATTGAGGATGCGCAAAAATTTTGTTACATTGCACTTTCTTTGCTCTATTTAAATATTATTACAGCTCTTTCAGAAGTTAAAACCGATTTAGGAAAATGCCAAACCTTGTACGACAAAAACCTCAGGTTTGGAATTTTGGCGATTATTTTGATACTCGCAAAAGCAAATGATTTGGAAGCATGACTGTTGAAAGGGGGAAGAAAATATGCATCAAACTGTCTTTAGACAGTTTACCCATCTTTTCCACATGTTTTTATGACAGCTCGAAAGAAGAACTTTCGGAATGACCTAAATTGAAATCATCTTCTCAGTTGCAAAAGGCATGCAAGGGAATCTAGAAGAACAAGTGTAAGTGAAGCGAAGTGAAGTGTACAAAGCGCAAACAAGAGCGATTGCAAAATATAAATTTAGACTTCCAAAGTAACGCAGATGTCTGACCTTATCACAATTCGGATAAGGCGACAGATTTTCCGAATTACTACGGCGTACTTTCACTGGTAATCGCCTCCTGCCTGATGCTTCTTACAAGTAGTTCTTGAGAAAAACATGATTTCTTACACCATGAATGATTTCATACATCAAGAAGGGTAGCTGAAGATAACATAATAATCAGTTTCACGGAGGTTTGCTTAAAATTCACTTTTGGGTGCTTCTGCCTTGTGAAAATCGTACTTTTTGATCCAAAATCAGAAAGGCGGAGGGAGCCAAGTTTCGCTGGAGGAAACAAGGTTAAATTTCACTAAAAGTTGCTAAAAATTCACTTTTGTTCGTCCGCCTTTACCTCTTGGAAATTCTACAGTCGAGTAGATTTAGCGGTAAATATAGTGCGCTTGCACAGAAGGTGAAATGCGGTAAAATTGGCGCGTGAAGAAATGATTTCGACTATGACGCCGGCCAACTGCGCGCGCAAAATACCCGCGGTACTGACGTGGCTACTTGTTCACGCGCAAATTTCACCGCATTTCACCTTCTGTGCAAGCACACTATATTTACCGCCAAATCTACTCGACTGTACTTTGGCCTTGCAAATGCAGAGGAACCCGCTAAAAGAAAAGACGAAAGGGCTCTAAACGGCAAGACTGTTTCGGTAAGAATTTCAAAATGTATTTCAATTCTGAATCTTACAAAAAGTTGCCCGAGATTAACTTTTGGCTCCTTCTACTTTCAAGAACTATAGTTCTGCCCTTAAAGGCAGCGTCCAGGCAAATCTGGACATACGGGGTTTTTAAGTGGGAAGCAATTTTGGGGCGCTAACTAAGACACTGCCCAGGCGGCAGCTGAAACGGTGAACTCACAGTTGAGATATTCGCCTCCAGACTGTACCTCGGGATTAGTTATTATAGCCTAGTAGCAAGTTTTTCTTTTCATAACTTCGCAAGATTCGCAATCGGAAAGAAAAGGTATTGGCATAAGTATGCCAACCAAAAGCACAAAATATGACTGACAAGCGAACAATGTTTAGTTAGGATGGCCTCTTTAGATGGGGTGTATACCATTTGCAAAGCATAAAACGCTGATTTCAAATTTACCTTACTTACTGCGCAAATTCATAGACGAGGAGGTGAGCTTTTATTGAAACAAAAAATTACAAGTGCATTTTTTTCTAGTGCTTGAAGGTAGCGTCCAGGCAAGTCTAGACACATGGGGTTCTCATGTGGATAGTAATTTGGGGGCCCTAAATAAGCCACTGCCCAACCAGCAGCTCAGGTAGTGCTCTAAAGGCTGAGATGTTCGCCTCGAAAGCGGACCCCGCGATCGTATTTCACATGGTCATGGCGCGACACGCGTGGTCCTCGCGCGAAACTGCCATGAATCCATGCGAATACGGTCTCAAGGTCCAGTTTGGAGGCGAATATCTTAACTATGAGCTCACCATTTGAGCTGCCGCTTGGGCAGTGTTTTAGTCAGAGCTCCAAGATTACCCTCCAGGTGAGATCCGCATAGGCCCAGGTTTGTCTGGATGCTGCCTTCAACACGTTTCGGATCGCAAAATCGCGCGCGGCAAAAAAGAGTACACTTTCAGCCATTAGCCAACAAAGGGACCTTATGTCGCAAACTGTGTCCTACATCTGTGATCAGCTT